GAAGATCTTCATTGGGGGAGCATTCCTCATCTCCTAAGATAACCCATACCACTTTGGCGTGACACTGATTGTTAGAAAGTTTTTCCTGTCATGAAGCCTACGTATGTCTCTTTGCTCTTATTGCCTGTTGTTCCTGGTTCTGTCCTCTGGGGCACAAGAGAACAAGTCTACTTCCTCTTTTACATGACAGCCCTTCAGATACTTGAAAATATCCATCACATCACCACCCTGGACTTTTTCCCTTTCCCCCTCCCCAGTCATCACTTCTTTTGGCCAACACTCATATGACATGGATCCAAGGCCCTTCACCATCCTAGTTACCCTCCCCTGGACATGTCAACTTTTCAATGTCCTTCCTAAACTGTGGTGCCTAGAATTTAACACAGTACCCCAAGTCTACAGTGGGATTTGACTAAGGCAGAGTACAGTGATACTTATCACCTTCCTTGGAAGTAATGCTCTCAGTTCAGTCCAATATCTCATTATCTTCTTTGACTGCCACATTACATTGACAATTCTGCAAGCTTGCAGTAAACTAAAATCCCAGATCTTTTTCAGTCACATTGGTATCTAATCATGCCTCCTGCATTTTATATTTTTTATATTTGTGAAGTTGATTTTTTGAGCCCAAATAGTAAGACTTACCATTTATCCTTACTGAATTTCATCTTACTAGATACAGCTTAATGTTGTGTAAGCCTTTCAAGATGTTTTTAGATCCTTGCTGTTATCCACTATGTTATCTCTCCCTCTTTCAGCTTTGTATGATCTGCAGATCTGATTAGCAGGCTATGAATGCCTTTGTCCAAGTTATTCTTAAAATTGTTAAACAGTACAAGCCCATGCACACATCCAGTGGATGTTACTCCAAAAGAATTCCTGCCAAGTTGATACTGAGCTATCATTGGCTACTCTTTGAGTCTGTACATTCAGACAGATCTGAATCTAATTATGCTGTTATATATTTCTCATCTCTTCATCTTTTCCATAAGAATAGTATGAGATAGTTTATCAATTTTTGCTAAAATCTAAGTAAGCTATAGCTACATTATTCCCGTGATCCTGTCCAAAAAAGGAAATAAGGCTAGTCTGACAACTTGTTCTTAGTGAAGTCATGCTGACTCTTTGTAATCACTGTTTTCATTTTCTACATGGTTACTAACCATCTTTTTAATGATACACTTTAACGCCTTCCCAGTAATCAAAGTCACACTCACTGGCCTATAGTTTGCAGACTCTATCCTTTAAAAAAAAAAAAAGATAATATTTGCCCTTCTCCAAATCCTGTGATACACATCCCTTTCTCCGTGATCTTTCAGTGGTCACAGAATAGTTTAAGCAATCACATTTGCTAGTTCTTTCATTGTCTGAGGACGTAGTTCATCTGGGCTAGGTAATCATCAGGTATGGCTCTCTACTTATCTTTTGAATCAGTTATTAGCTGTTTTGCATTTCTAATGAAAAGTTCATTTTTCTTGGCATGGAAAACAAGCCAAATAAGAAATGAGCAGCCCTGCTCGTCTCTTGTCAATTGTCGTTGCCTTATCCATTGAAAACAGCAGTCCCAGCCCTTATTTGATTAGCTTCCTTGCCCAAATAATAACTTAAAAAACTCATTTCTTTTTTCTTTAGCTCTCCTTGGCAACCTCTGCTTATTCTGAGGTTTAGCAGCTTTGACATTATTTGTGCCATTTAAAAAATCCTGTTACTTGTTTTTACTTCCATCTTCTGTCATATCTTTTTAAAATCTGATTTGATTGGCGAGTTCCTTGATTATCTACACTGTTATTTTTTTTTAATATTCATTTTTAGTTTTCAACATTCACTTCCATAAGCTTTTGAGTTCTAAACTTTCTCCACCTCCCTCCCCAAGATGGTGTGCAATCTGATATAGGCTATACATATACATTCCTATTAAATGTATTTTCGCATTAGTCATGTTGTAAAGAAGAATTAAGAGCCAATAGGAACTACAAGAAAGAAGAAACAAAACAAAACAGAAGAGAAAAAAAAGCAAATAGTATGCTTTGATCTGCATTTAACTCCTTAGTTCTTTCTCTGGATGTGAGTAACATTTTCCATCATGAGACTTTTGGCGATGTCTTAGATCCTTGCATTGATGAGAAGAGCTGAGTCTGTTGAAGTTAATCATCATACAGTGTGCCTGTTACTGTATACAGTGTTCTCCTGATTCTGCTCACTTCACTCAGCATGAGTCCATACAAGACATACAAGTCTTTTCAGGTTTTTCTGAAGTCCACCTGCTCATCATTTCTTATAGCACAATAGTATTCCATTACATTCATATACCACAACTTGTTCAGCCATTCCCCAGTTGATGGGCATCCCCTCAATTTCCAGTTCTTTGCCACCACAGAAAGAGCTGCTATGAATATTTTTGTACCTGTGGGTCCTTTTCCTATTTTTATGATCTCTTTGGGATACAGCCCTAGAAATGCTATTGCTGGGTCAAAGGGTATGCACATTTTTATAGCCTTTTGTGCATTGTTCCAAATTGCTCTCCAAGATGGTTGGATCAATTCACAACTCCACCAACAATGGATTAATGTTCCAATTTTCCCACATCTTCTCCAACATTTATTATTTTCCTCTTTTGTTGTGTTAGCCAACCTGATAGGTATGATGTGGTATCTCAAAGTTGTTACACTGTTCTTTTTGTAGCTCTTTTTTCCTCATCAGAATTGTTTTCATTTGTGCTTTTAGAAATTCATTCTTCAGTTTCCTTGTTGTCCTGGGCTGACTTCTCCTGTAGAGTTTTAGTATAATTATTCCTTATTCTTCTTCTGAACCCTTGGAAATCTCCTTCCTTCATATCTAGAATTCAGTAATACTGTGCCCAACTTTATCTTTCAAGATTTATCATTAAAGATTTATAATATTTTTAAATTTTTTTTTTTACATTACTGTGCTTATTGTCAGTATTGTTGTCTTTTACATTACCGTGGTCATTGTGTAAATTGTTTTCTTGCTTTTCCTTATTTTTCTCCACAGGCCACTTAAATCTTCCCAAGATTCTTTGAATTTCTTCATATTTGTCATCTTATATGCAGAATAATATTCTTTACATTCATCTGTGTGTATCACGATTAGCTATTTTCCTGTGGGACCATATTTCTTTTTTGTAAACTATTGCTCACAGTGTTGATACAAATCATACTGCCATCATATGAACTTTCCCGTATAATTTCAAATTATTTTTCAGAATTATTAGTCCAATCGTAATTTCTTCAACATTGCATCCATTAGCATGTGGCTGTCTTCCTATATCCCCTCCAACTTTTATAATTTTTCATTTTTTGTTATCTTTGCCTCTATGGTATGAGGGGAAACAGAGCTGTACAAGTTTACAATTTTCTTAGTTACTTGGAGCAATCTTTCTTGGTTGTTGATAGTTTCATTTCTTCTTTTGAAAACTGCTCATTCAAATCCTTTGACCATTCATCATTTGGTGAGTGAGCCTACTCAATTTCCTTTGTGGCACACTGTATGTGGTATAAGGTTACCATTGTTTCCTTGCTCTGTCCCAAGGATAAACCTTTGATGAAATTGCCTTCTTCAGGTGCTTTCATAGGCTCTAGATCTTACTTCTGGGGCAGACAATGGTGACCTTTAATAATAGTCTTCAGGGTGTTTCATCTCCTACCCATCAGATTGACCAAGTTGGGGGGGGGGGGAAGAAGGGAAAATGATAAATGCTGGAAGGGACTGTGGGGAAAAAGGTATATTAATGCACTGTTGTAGCTGTGAACTGGTCTAGCCATTCTGGAAAGTAGTTTGGAACTATGCCCAAAACACAAGCTGTGCATACCTAGCGATACTACCATTAGAGATCAAAGAAAGAGGAAAAGGACCCATATGTACAAAAATATTTATAGCAGCTCTTTTTTGTGGTGGCAAAGAATTAGAAACTGAGGGAGGTGCCCATCAATTGGGGAATGGCTGAACAAGTTACGGTATAATATATGTGATGGAATACTATTGTGCTGTAAGAAATGATGGTGGGGATGATTTCAGAGAAACCTGGGAAGACTTGTATGAACTGATGCAGAGTGAAGTGAACTAGGAGAACCATTTATGTAACCACAATATTATAGCTTATACATTTCATTCACATTACTATGGAGAATACAAAGGCAAGGTCTCTGTCCTCGGAGTTTATTATTTAATAGCTTATACATTTGGGTCACACAACTATGGAGAGTACAAGGACAAGTTAGTCACAATATTGTTAAGTTAAATAACCTTGTAAGACTAGGAAACTCTGAAAACTTGTTCATAATTCTGCTACCAAGATCTTAACCTACAAAAATTCTTCATTTATGGCTAGTTACATGTTTGCTACAATGACTGTTGGATTTGTACTATTGTTCCCCTTGGGAGAGGATTTTTAAAAATTTTTTTATCTTGATGGGCTCAGTTCCCACTGGCTCAGTGAACCTTTAGAAGTAGTAAGGGCTTGGGAAAACCAATTAGAGGACTCATATTCTCTTTGTTGTCAAAGTGGAAATAAAATTATTCTACTTCACTGTGAATTTGGAAATTCTCCTCTGTAGTCCTCCTTTTGATATCTCATCTTGGTGTTGTGGTAGCTAACTGGCTCAAAGGCTTTGCCAGTGGAAACCCAAGCCCAGACAACTCTTACCAAATCGCAAAGATTTAGAACATGGGATTGTTATCAAATAACTAATCAAGCTAAATTCAGAGAGGCTTATCAGCCCCAGGGGATACATTTTATAGTTACAGAAATTCAAAGAATATTTTATGGCATGGCAGAAATACTTTTTGCATTAGTTAAGAGTAGTACTCACACTGATGAAATCAAGGATATATGGAAATTAATTAAAGTAAGATTGTAAATGCAAGCTCAATGAATGGAGTGATGAGTGTTTATGTAGGCATGAAGTAATGGCACCTTCTTGCTTATGTGAGAAAAAAATCTGTACTCTAATGTTGATCAAAATTTCTTTTTTTTCTTTCAGTTTCTGAAGACTTACTGAGATGGAACAGGTGTGCCAAAGCTGAGATAATAGAATCCACTCAACGCTGTTGGCCAGTGTCCTACAATTTTTGGCTTTAATATAATTGGAAATTGTAATGAGTATGACTGTTGGATTTGCACTACTGTCCCCTCTTTGGGGGAGGACCTTTTTTATTCTGCTAATGATCGCTACAGCTCAGTCCCACTGGCCCAGTGAACCCTCTGAAGTAGTAAGGGACTGGGAAAACCAGTTAGAAGCATCAATGCATTCAGTGCTTTCTGATCTTCGAGAGACTGTCCCAGCTGTTGTGGGCATTCCAGATGGCATAGCTGTGGTAGGGCGCTCATTTCGACTTGCCATTCCAACAGATTTAATCGCTTCCAGTGGAGAAATAATTAAGGTGAGATTGAATTTATGTGGTAAGAATGAGCAAGATTTTCTGACACTCCTTTCATTTTTAGTTTCATTTTTATGTCTTTGATCTAGCAGCTTTTAAATGCCCTTCTGATTACTATAAAACTTCTAAGTCAGAGATTCTCAGAGTATGTTCTGATAGCCCATGGTTATCCTGAAGGCCCTTATGGGGTTCCACAAGGTCAGAACCGTTTTCATAATAATAGTAAGATATTATTTGCCTGTTAAAATATTCCTTCCTTTTCCAACTACATATCTATTTAAGGCCAGATTTTCTTTATATTCTTTATCCAAAATGACCCATCCCCACAGATTGAATGCAGAAGCAGAAATGAGAATTCAGCTGTTTTCTATTAACCCAGGGATTAAATAGATTGGCAGAAATATGTAAAACAATGTCAATCTTCTCCCTAAATTATTTCTGTTTTGGAGAATATAGCTATTTTCATAAAAATGTTATTTATGTTAACATGTAGTGGATTTATTATTTTTAAATGAATTAGTAAATATTTGTTTTTTTAGTCTTAATTTTTATTATGGTAAATATCCATAGATATAAGCCACATTAACAAAGGCTCTTTGGATTCCTCATTAATTTTTAAGAATGTGAGGGAGTCCTGAGAACAAAAAGTTGGAGAACTGCTGTGCTTTAAGTTAAAAGATAATATAATAACATTTTAAGGCGAGGGAGTTCTTGTAAATATCATTAGGAATCACTGACTCTTTAATTTTTAGCTTATCAAAATCTGGTTTGTTACACCTATTTTATTGAAGATACTTGTCTCATGGAAAGAATTTTGCACATTTTGAGCTTTGAATCCAAGATTTGTAGAGAGTGGTCAGTGAGGGGCTTTCACTCTCATTTTCTTTTTCATTTCCATGATAAAGAACCAGTGAATTTGCTTATCATAGATTTAGAGCTGGAAGGACCCTTAGAGAAAGTCTATTCCACAGGTGTCAAACTTTAGCCTACAACACTCCTGATTGCAGCTGTGAACTAGATTAAAATGTAATTGGGAAATATTTTAACAAAATAAATAAAACTACAGCAAAGCACAGATAATATTAATATGTGTTTTTCTAAGTCAGTATGTGGCCTATAGGGATCCTTATGAACAATTTAGTGACTCCCATATGTATTTGAGTCTGAAACCACTGATCTTCACCTCCTTCATTTTACCAATTAGGAAACTGATCTAGAGAGGGAAGGGAAGTGACTTGTCAAGATCCCACAGTGAAGCAGCAGAGTCTGGATCAGAATGGCTGTAAAACACTAGCACATCCAGATAAAACGATGGCTTAACATGAGAACAGAATTTGTATTTAACATTTAAACTACTTTAGCAGCAGCTGAAAGTCCCTCTTTAAAGACACACCAAAAGGGTTGCTTGCAAAGTTAATAAGAAAAGTAGGCTGACAAGTCGTAGCATAACTGAACCAAAATTTAGAGATGAGAACTTTCCATGGTAACATTAGTTCCCCCTGAATAGGATTTTTCAGGACCTTAGAATTTCCTCTTTGTAGCTACTCTTTGTCCAAAGGCTGGTTTATGTACATCTAGAATTATATGTGCCCCATCAAGTTATTACCTCTTCGTAGCCTGAGTTTTAGGATGTGCTATAAATATACTAAGCATAATACTTCATTATAGTATTTGTCATTTCAGATCTAAGTTTTGACTTCCTTGGTATTTCAAGGACAGTATTTATAATGATTGAGGTCTTTTTGGGGGGAAGAAGAAGCCTAGGTTTAGGATTTGTAGTTGTAAAACAAGGTGACATATGGATTTAAAGGGGGGAAAATGATTATAAACCAGTACTTGCACAGCTTTCTGCCCATTCCTGTTTTGGGAGAGCTCTTAGAGGTAAAAAATTAGTCACAAAAGCTACGTGTGAATGCTTAGACTTCTAATCTTGAATGTCCTGAACAAAAGAACAATGGAACTAGAAGGGACCTGAGGTAGTCAAATAGTTACCTGGTAGAGGTATTCTAAGCTGGCTAACCTAGATGCATATTTTAAAGCCTCTGTTAGTAGTAAATAGCCCAAGGAACCTAATGACCCTCATTGTCAGAAAAGCTCTCACTGTGATTTAAATCCATTTCTTCCTTTTCTATGAAACTGAAATCCTAAAGTTTTCATAACAGAGTTCTGTAGAAGAGGCATCTTATATCCTTTGACTAAAGGAGTACCCGTGTACCTTTACTTTATTTGATAGTTACTTTGGAAGACTAAAAATTTTTGTATGCTGAGACTAGGTATATTACACTAGTGACTGGAGATTTAAAAACTTAGAAAGGAGTGGAGGAGGCGTGGGGATGGGGTCATCAGATTTTTTTTTTCCCTGAGGAATTTTTCTTTCTGAAAAAACTGATTTGGGGATTGTGAGACTTTGGTGCATGATGAATAAAATGTTCAGAGTATCTAAAGTAACCATTACTACCCTAAAGTGATTTCTAGAAATCCTGGAAGACAAAGAGTTTTCTTTAAAACCACCTTTTGCCTCAGATTGGTAACTTTTCCTGAGAATACAGAAAAATCCTCAAGAGTTTTTCCCCTCCAGATTGAAATGTTGACCCTTAGCTTTTTCCCTTTTTTACTTCATTTTATTTTTTATAGTGGATATTTAACACACAAGCCATTACTGGTTAGATTGCAAATTGCCTGAATATAATATAATAACACGATTTAAGATGTAGATCCAGAAGGCAGCTTAAAAGATCCTCCAGTCTAACCCCTTCATTTTCTATACAAGGCACCTGAGGTCTAGACAGGCTAAGGGATTTTCCTAAGACCACACCAGTAGCAGAGCTATGTTCTAACATTATTCCTCTGACTCCCCAATCCAGCATTCTTTCCTGACTAGGATGAAAGTAGTAATAGCACCTTTCAGTACAATCAACAAAAAGACTTTGATAGTTTGATATACTATTTCTAGTATCGTTTCTGTAGTTAGTTCAAACCATAGTCTTCAGATCCTATGAATTCTGAGGAAGAGTGGTTATTTGTCTGTATTTATTAGGTTTAGCTCCTGAGTTCAGGGGTATTGTACCTGGCGAATCTTTCTGATACCCTTAGTGGAAATAAAAATATTTAAGTAAGAAAGAACCATTGGTCAGAGATACAAGAAAATATAAATCTACTGATACAAAATACAAAAACCTTTGATTTTTTATTTCAATTAGCAACGAGAGGAAATTGGGGCTATTAGAATAGAGTAAGATAAGAATGTGACATGATGAAAAAAGTACTTTAGAGTTTGTGAATTCTGTTGGTCGGTCTGTCTGTGTTATATTGCTACCAAGAGGCCGCATTGTGTGATTTAATGGAAAGAACACTGGACTCAAAGTTAGGAGATCTGTATTCATATTCCACTTCTTCCATTAACTCATTATGTGATCTGGGCAAGGCATTTTTTGGACTTCATTTTCCTCATCTATAACATGAAGGCGTTAAACTAGATGTTCATTGTAATTTGTGAAAAATCCTGAATAATACCATCAAAGGTATTCAGTGGGCCTGGGGGCTTTTGCTGACCACCCGCATTCTTTTCCTAGTGTATTCAGTTTGTATAGGTTCAGCAAACACTGATTGAGCACCTGTTATGTGCAGGGCCCAATGCAATATAAAGATGAAAACATTCCCTGGTCTCAAGCTTTTATTTGAATATTAGGGGATGAAAAGAAGAGGTTCAGGAAAACTAAGACAGATGGGAGAGATGGAGGTTTAGGAGCTTGTGATCTGTGAAAGGAATTTCATAGTTCTGGTTCATAGAGTGAGATCATAGGGTTTAACCATACCTCCTTGTGTGTGACTGAGGTAGAATGAAGGTGCAAGTCATAGGAATTGAGAGTGCTAGTGTGTTTGAGGGGACATTAATGTAAATATTGGAGTTTCTTAAGTATCAGGACAAGGCTTATAGTGGAGAAATAGATGTGAGCCAGATGCTGAACTGCTTGAGAAAGGAGAAGAAGGGGCCTAGAGTCTTCTGGATGACTGCAGCCAGGATCTGGATCAAATGATATCAACACTGGGGGGAACCTCAAGTGATTCTGGTGGAGAGAGAGTCTGAATGTGACAGTAATGAGTGAAGAATATGTCTATTCCCTATGGTTTTTTTTGTTGAGTTAGGGACTCAGAGTATGATCAGTAGAGTAGCCAGTATTGAAGAAGGTGTTCATGGATGCAGTATCTTCCAGGATATCAGGTTTCTGTGAGTACCAGATGGAAGGGACACCAGGTGAAAAGATCCCAGAATAGTCAGTCAGTCAATAAATATTTGTTAAATACCCACTGTGTGCCATGTACTGTGCTAATCACTGGAGAATCAAAGAAAGTCAAAGAGTAGTCCCTGCTCACAATGACTTAGTCTAATAGGAAGACAACCTTCAAACAACTATGTTGAAACAAACTATATATGCCAGATAAATTGTAGTCAACAGAAGGAAAGCACTAGATTTAAGAGGGATTAGTAAGAGCTTCCTATAGAAGGTGGGATTTTAACTAGGATTTGAAGGAAGCCAGGAGGTGGAGGTGTAAAAGAGAGCATTCCATGAATGGGGGACAACTGGTGAAAATGCCTCAAGTCTGGAGATGAAGTATCTTGTGTGACAGATGGCAAGGAGGTCAGTGTCACATACCTGGGTGGTAGTGGTGGTGTGTAGTAAGGTATAAAAAGATTATAAAGTTGGAGAGTCCCACATGTACAAAAATATTCATAGCAGCTCTTTTTGTGGTGGCAAAGAATTGGAAATTGAGAGGATGTCCATCAATTGGGGAATGGCTGAGCAAGTTGTGGTATATGAATGTGATGGAATACTATTGTCCTATAAGAAATGATGAACAGGCTGACTTCAGAAAAACCTGGAAAGACTTGTATGGTCTGATGCTGAGTGAGGTGAGCAGAACCAGGAGAACGTTGTACACAATAACAGCCACGTTGTGTGATGAGTAATATTGAAAAACTTAGCCCTTCCCCGCAATACAAG